AGAATTTGGAAGAATCCAGTAAATACATTAAATATCAAAGTGTTTAATACTAGATAATCATTTAAGGTATAACTCATTTAAAAGAACAAAAGGAAAAAAAACCAACTAAAACACCAGACAATTATTCAAAAGCAAACCAATCTAAAAATCAATGGTCTTTTCTACTTTGTTTCAACTAGAAATAAGAATACCGTTATCCTTTCAGAATACTCCATGGCAGTTTCTAAGACTAAACCCACAAATCCAGAACAGTGTGAAGTGTTCCAGATGTTGGGTTGAACACACTGTTCCCAAAATGATGGATTGGGTGACTGATAGTCCATATATTGTATTAACAGGACAATGCTGATTCACTTGCGTTACAGCAACAAGTGAAAGATAGATTACGTTCTGATAATATTTGAATTATCTATCCTTTTCAATAAACTCCAATTATTAAATTGACTGAGTTATTTTTAGACCTGTTCATATCCATTAATAATTAAGTTCATTTCTAATTGTATATGGACTGGAACTGGTATAATTCTAGCTTGGTTTACTGGCCTAATCAAGAAAATAGCAAGATTTTTGCAAAGAATATGGCTTAAAGTACCATGTGTAACTCATGCACAAAAGGAGTCAGATGAGGAGCAATTAGGAAATGTCTAGATTTTGGGGAACAATTACAGTAATGCCTGTAAAACAATGGAAAGCTTCCTCTTTACACTCTAGCAACAGTTGCTCTCCAATCTTTGTTAGGACAGTAGCTGATTTTAAAATGATTTAGAATAAATACTTATACCTAGAGCAGGGGTGGGATTCTACCGGTTTGGACCGGTTCGAGCGAACCAGTAGCTCCGATGATCAACTGGGAGCGAGCTAGTTCCCTCTGACAATCAGGTGGGTCTGCCCGCCTGCGACTGTGCTTTACTGACCTATATCTTCTCAGCTGATTCACGCAGCACAGCAGATTGCCGCTCCTCTGCTATGTTACTCCCCAGCAGTAACGTGGAAGGTAAGTTTCTTAAAACTGTGCACCTGCACACATGCCTGCATCACCTGCGCATGTGCCTCATCATCCTCATCGGTCCACACCAGGCGCTTTGTGGGTAGGACAGCTACATGCTCCACATTAACCTCTGCCGGGTGGCAGTGTGATTGGTGTTTGCCAAGGCCCTATTTAGTCTTAAAACGAGAACCACAGAAGCACCGGAAGCTGAGATTTTCCGTTCTGTTCTGGGTTCCTGTTTCCTTGGCATTCCCATCTCTACTGCTGGAGTCCGAAAGTCCATGGGGACCAGGATTGAATACTATATGCATATTAGTAAACAGCAACAAACCCTCCACAAGGTGGTTGGCCTCGCAGGGGATTGGCTTCGTTGTTAAACCGGCAGAATCCCACCACTGACCTAAAGTGTGTGGAGAATCTCTCTGCTATTCATTATTGTGACCCTCTGTTATTTGTTAAAGTATGCAGGGCTTTTTCAGGCTTCCAAATTAGGCTGAAAAAACATTATTTTGCTTTAAGAGTCACATTAGCGACACTGTTTTAATAATGTGGTTAATTAAAGCATAGGATTAGAAAATAGGAAATGAAAATAGGATGGAAAAAGAGAGCCAACAAATTCAACCATTCTTTATATTCTCTGTTCACACATAAGCTTTCATGCAAAGCAGTTTTCAATCTATTGGTCAGCTGCAGGAGCCAAAATATGTATTGCAAATGCCTCAGGATGCTTTTGAAAGTGGCCAAAATATACTGAATATGGATAAATATGAAACTGATATGGGAAGGTTGTAAAGCAGAGGTTTGTGTTTCACTTTTATCAAAATTAGGCGGGGGTGTGTGTGTTAAAAGTACAATGGCTATATATGTATACTTTTTTGTTTTTTTTAAGAAAGGAGGAGAATATAAATTAGAATTAAATATGTATATTGAAAAGGAACTATAAATACCATCAACATAAAATGGAGCTTGCACAGAAGCTGAAATACACCAAGTAAATGAGATGAAGAGTGGGAAGAAAAGGAAAGAGGTAAGGGAAGAAGAGAGGAAGTTGATGGTAAGATGAATTGATGTAAACATTTAATAATACAAAACGATGCTGGCTATGTAATAGTATACATGTGATTATATATTATGAAAATGAAAAAATAAAAAAATTACTTAAAAAAGAAAAGAAAAGCTGGTCTTCTACTAAAAAGGGGGTTTACTTAAACGTACAATTTCAGTGCAATATATCGTATTTTTCGGAGTATAAGACACACCGGAGTATAAGACACACCAAGGTTTTGAAAAGGCTTTTTTTAAAAAAA